CCCCAACATGGACGAGTGATGCCAGTTAAGTCAAAACTCTTGGCTCTGAGAAGACCGGACAGGCCATCATCCCACCCCTGTGGGACTATTAGAGGTAACACAAGTTGTCTCCTCTAACACAGAGAGCTGATGGAGATCCCAGCGGCTGCTTGTTTAGCCCTTGCATGCCTGGCTCGTGGGCTTTTTGGTCAAAAGAGGTTGCAGCATTGTCACTTCACTTGGCCTCTCTGGCTATGTCTGCACCATGTCCCCAACATTCTTGGGGGAGGACGCCTGGAAACGTGGCAGGGAAGTTGTTCTAGGACACGCTCGTGGCCCTCCGGTAAGTCGGAGATGGACGATTTCAGAACAGGCAAGGGAGGCGGTGCCAGAACAACCTCGTCGCCACAATTCTGCTTGTGCTGCCTGCCCGGGGGTGCTCTGAGTGCAAGGACGCTTGCAGGGACCGTTCTGTAGATGCAGTCTGGCACACTGTGCTAGGATGTAAAATGTAAGCTCTCCACGCTTGAAGTTGGTCAAGAGAAAGCTGCACTTTACTGCAGGAGTCAGTGCTACCAATTAAAACCTGCTTTGAATAGGAAGCATCTTCCATTTCAGTGAAAAATAGTGTTCTTTCCAGCCTGACCCAAGCCTTTATTCACCGTTGCTTTATGTTAAAAGCCCACATGGAGTTACACCCCTGAAACGGTTCCAGCAGAAGCCTGCGAGGCAAATCCTGGCCCCACTGAAGTCAATGACAACGCTCTCATTGACTTTGGTAGAACCAGGGGTCCATTTTAGCCTTTAAGCCATCTTGGCAGTATCAATTTAAACACCTCTCTAGCTTTGACTGTAATCCAAAGGCCTCTACTTTTCTTCCTACATTCAAGACTGCTTCTTGGGCAGTGCTTAATTTATCACTCAAAAATTCAGTATCATCCCCATCTCTGTCTTTCCTGCTGCACCCGAGCTGGTGCGTATGATCTTTTAGACTGGAAAACTAATACCTGAAGGAAGCACGACGTTTTTAATAATTCCAGTCGTTCTTTTTCCTGGCCCCGTCTCCAACCTATCTTTCTGCTACGGTATGCATCAGAGCTTAATTTTTTCATGACTTTCCTATACAAATGTCTCTGAAGGAAAGTTTTTGTGAGCATGTATACATGTATGCTCACACGTATATATGAATACATTGAGGCTTGCTTACAGCACTTGAAATAATTGTGAATATTCTCACCAACTTGCCTAAAGATCACACTTTCAGGGTGCTTTTTCTAAGTGCATGCATGTTTGTTTGTCTGTCTGTGTGTATGCACATGGATTTAAAGGTAGATTTAACCCTTCTCTCTTTTGGTGGGATTGTGTTCAAATCCTTTGCAGGTCACCAAAACACCTTAATGCCTGGGAAGCAAGCAATGGCAATATAGTCTCCTTCAAATTTCTTTGAGTCTCAGGAGTGGCAAGTGTCTTCTAATGGAATGAAGGAGCCTGCAGTCTAAATCTAACACTCATAAAACCTCTGAAACACCCACATTGTTTAAAAGTCATAGGTTCATAGATGTAGGGTCAGAAGGGACCTTGTAGATCTTCTAGTCTGACCCCCTATCCTGGGCAGGAGAGAAAACTGGGCTCAAATGACCCCAGCTAGGTAAACGTCGAGCCTCCTCTTAAAACCCCCCAGGGAAGGAGCGAGCACCACTTCCCTTGGAAGTTGGTTCCAGATCCTAGCCGCCCTGACTGTGAAGTAGTGCCTCCTGATGTCTAGTCTAAACCTACTCTCTAGCAACTTATGGCCGTTATTCCTTGTTGCCCCGGGAGGCACTCGGGGCAACAAGGTCTCTCCAAACCCCGCTGGTCCTCCCAAGTTTATAGATGGCCACCAGGTCCCCCCTCAGCCTTCTCTTGCAAAGGCTGAACAGGTTCAGGTCCTGTAGCCTCTCCTTGTAGGGTCTGACCTGCTGTCCCCAGATCATGCGGGTGGCCCTCCTCTGGACCCTCTCAATGCTTGCCACATCCCTCCTGAAATGCAGTGCCCAGAACTGGACACAGTACTCCAACTGTGGCCTGACCAGTGTCACATAGAGGGGGAGGATCACCTCCTTGGCCCTGCCTGAGATGCATCTGTGGATGCAGGACAAGGTACGGTTAACCCTACTAACTGTGTTCTCGCATTGTCAGCCCATGTTCATCTTGGAATCAGTAATGACTCCAAGATCTCTTTCTGCCACCGTGCTTTCGAGAAGGGAGT